ACACATACATATATTTTTTTTCTGGTGCTGGGGAATAAACCCAACACCTTATACGTGCTAGATACACACTGCTGCTGAGCTACATCCCCATTGTAGGTTTTCTGAGATAAGAGTCTCACTACGTAGTAGCCCGAGCTGTCCTCAGATTTACAATCCTCTTGCCTTGGCTTTAGGATTTCTGGGATTACAGGGGTGTGCACCACACATGGCTTCATGATTTCTATTACGGCCTATGGCATGCCCTTAGCTATACTTTTGCTTTTTTTTGTATTTATTCTCAGACATCTGGGTGTATGTTATCTTTATAATTAGAGTGGAAATGTGACATTTTGGTCATTTCCCAAATACAGGGTAATTTACCAGTAATCCTCTCAAATTAGAATCAGTATATGTTTTTCAAAGAAAGTTATTCAATTTTTTCTGAATCATAGTTAATCTTTATGATTTTTAAAATTTTTTTTGGTTTTCTTGAAGCAGGGTCTCCGTGTAGCCCCAGCTGTCCTGGAACTCACTATGTAGACCAGGCTGGCCTTGAATGCACAGAGATCCACCTGCCTCTGCTGTCCACAGCTAAACATACTAAGGCCTTGCAGAGGAGGACCTGGTGGTTCTTGTGCTTTTTCCAGCAGTGGGAGGAAGCCCCTGTATGCAGTCTTCAAGGTCAGTGTCCGATACAGCCCACGGGATAGCTGGCTTTTCTGTGTCAGCATTCCCAAAGCTTATGACAGCACTCACGTGACAGGTGGTTATGTCATCATCACAATGCACACACAGGCGGTCACTGAGCCTGGCCCTACCTTTTTGTATCCGGTGTCTCTTAAAAATCTTAAGGAATATAATTACCATGAAACAGCATAACAATATATTGGCCAAGTCTGATGATAGGAGTAAGAACAAGTCTAAGAAATGAGGGTGTGCAAAGTGTTCACCACATCTCAGAGTGGGCAGGTGCGTTCAGAGTTGCTGGAGGGTGAGCAGCAGGCCCTGCTGTGGGTTGTGTACCATGTATATTGCTTCCCAACAGAAGAGAGAAGAACAAAACCATGTAGTTAGCTCTGGCCAGACTTCTGAAACGGGGAAGTACATCTACAGTATGAATCCAGGACCTCTTACCATTGAGTATATCATTCTGATATCCCAGTAAAGACAGCAAGCAGAGCCCTTCCAGTAACACACCTCTGTAAATTTTGTCTCCTAAGAGGCAAGCCATGATAGTTTGGAAACAGCCTGGAGGTTGTGAATTTTCATTTCACAAGTTTTCTACTTCCCCATTTAAATTAATCAGAAACTTAATAAAGAACATGATAATTTAACAAACGCAGGTTCTTTTTCTGAGGAGAGAGGCATTTTCTTGTATGTTGGTTGGTCTGTTGTAAACAGTCTCCACGCTCCACGTGCTCTTCCTCCACTCAGCAGGACAGAATTTTCATTTCTTCTGCATAGGAGATATCTAGAATGAAATCCATGTCTCAGTTAATAATACAACAAAAATTTTAAAAGTAGCTAAAGGGAGCACAAATGAGAGATTCTGGGGACTGGGCTGCAAAAAGGAAAAGTGCCAACTACCTCCAGGTACTTTCTCTAAAACCATGCAGGTGTATAGTCCTTTGATGTTGTCTTCATCAACATAAGGCCATGTATAAGACAGTGATCCTGTTAGACTGTAGTGGGCATTCCAAATTCACATCCTAGTGACATCTTGTTCATCCTATTGTTGCTATGGTTTGGATGAAAAGTTTCCTCCTCCCGCAAGGGCTCTTGTATCAAAGAAGTGGTTACCAATGGTGACTCTACTTTGAGGGGTGCTGAAAATATTAGGAGGAAGTACCTGACTAGGGGAAGCAGGTCACTGGGGGGATACTTTTGAAGGATATACCTGATTCCTGGTCCTTTCCTCTCTCTTTGCTTCCTGTCTTCCACAGAAGGAGCAGCCTGTCACATGTTCCTTTACACCACGATATAACTCAGAAGCAGCAAAGATTATGAACTGAAATATCAGAGACCATGAGCTAAAAATTAATCCTTCCTTAAGGTGTTCATGTCAGGTAATTTGCCACAATGCTCAACCTTAACCTGTTTCTTCCAGTTTTATAAAAGTATAGCACACACAATTATATATCATATGTATGAGATGATGATAAGGAATGATGAAGTTTTTGGTTTATGTATTTACTGTACTATACTTTCATCACTATTTTACAGTATATTCCTTGGGGCTGAAGACTTAGCTCAGCGTTTAAGAGCCTATACTTCTCTTTCAGAAGACCATTCAAGTTTGGTTCCTAGCACCCACATTAGGTGGCTCACAACTGCCTGTCATTTCAACACCAGGGTATCTGACACCCTTTTCTATCTTACACAGATACCTACACTCATGTGCACATATCCACATATAGAAACATACAGATATACATAAGTAAAAATAAAATAAATCTTTAAAAATAGATATTCCTCCACTCGCCTAAGTTCTCATGCGAATTGCACGTCCCCCCTTTGGCTCTCAGCGCAACACCATGGCAGTGGGCAAGAACAAGCATCTGACGAAAGGTAGCAAGAAGGGAGCCAAGAAGAAAGGGGTGATCCATTTTCTAAGAAGGATTGGTATGATGTGAAAGCTCCAGCTATGTTCAACATTAGAAATATCGGAAAAACACTAGTGACAAGGACTCAAGGAACCAGTGAGTACTTTATAGTTTTGCATTGGCCTTTTTAACAGGCATCTTGGTCTACTCTTCATCCTGTGATGGAGGACTTTATGGAAGTGTCATCTCTGGTACAGGTTTGGCATCTGGAGTACTTGCTTTTAAGTACAATGCCTTATCCAACAAAGAAGCTGACTAGAAAATGTGTAGGAGGGTGCTGGCAATTAGTGTCTAGGTGGATTTGGTAACAAGTTAACGAGACATTCGGTTCTTTTGTAGAAATTGCGTCTGATGGCCTCAAGGGTGATGTGTTTGAAGTGAGCCTTACTGATCTACAGAATGATGAAGTTGCATTTAGAAAGTTCAAGCTCATTACTGAGGTTGTTCAGGGCAAAAACTGTCTAACTTCCATGGCATGGATCTTACCCGGGACAAAATGTGTTCCACGGTCAAAAAATGGCAGGTGAGACCAAAAACTGTATTTTAGCTTGTTAGTGCATGACCGAGTGTGTGATCACAGGAAGGGACAAAATGTAATGGGGAGTTAAGATTCATTTCAAATCCTCGATTGGTTTTTGGTATTGTCAACCCTGAGTTGGGCACTTCTAAACGTGGACATCTGAGGAAGCCATGGCTTCCTTGAACTTACAGGATTTTTTTATTGTTTTATTTTTTTTATGCTGGAGATAGGGCGTAAGCGCCTTTGACATGCTGAGTAAATGCACTTAACATTGAGGTATATCACCATCCCCAGAGGATTACTTATGAGCAGTTTGACTTGTCTAAAGAGTTTTTGGGAGTCTCAGGTTGCACTGAGTTTCTAGTGAAAGGGTGGCTCTGGCTAGGCTAGTTTGATTGACAGCCTCTTGCAGAGCTAAGATCAAACTCCATTCTCATGGGTGTTCTCCTTGGGAAATAACAAGTCTGAGTTGTGAAGATGAAATAAAAGATGCAGGTAAACGCTTAGTAGCTCAGTGTCTGACACAGAAAGCACTCAGGAACTGGTATCATTGCAGGACATACTTATATTCAGATGGATCTGGGTGGCAGTGGTGGCACGTTTTGTTCATGGGAATGAATGATGACAAAATGTTTCGGTCCCAAATGATACACACTGATTTTACCGTTACATTTATTTCTGACATTCCCTTAAAGTTTTATGCATTTCTGGAACTACTGAAGTGTTATGTATATTGATAAATTCTTTTTGGTGGTGCTAGATGTCAGGTATGTTTTCAAACTAAGGTATATAATTATTTTTTGGTCTTTTTGAGACAGGAGCGCCAGCTGGCCTGGAACTCCCTATGTAGACCAGGTTAGCCTTGAACTCACAGGAATCCACCTGCCTCTGCCTCCTGGGACCAAAGGTGTGCACCACCATGCCCGCCCAGCTAGGAATTTCTTTTCATGTGCAGTTATTACAGTAGGACTTCACCTGTTTGGCCACTTTCTCTTTTTCCTTTTTAATTTTAAAAATTAAAAAAAATTTTTTTAATGTGTATGAGTGTATTGCCTGGACAGGGTGTCTGACCTGTGCCAGCCTGGTACTTGCTAATGTAGACCTAGCAGTATGAGCTTAAGATCTGCTTTTGCCTTTTAAGTGCAGGGATTGTAGGTGTGGGTCATACCTGGCTTGTATTTTGTTGTTTGATTTTTTTTTTTTGAGACAGTCTCACTGTAGCCCTGGCAGGCCTTGAACTTACAGAGATCTGCCTGGCACTGCCTCTCAAATGCAATGTAAGAGGTGTGTGCCACCATGCTCAGCCTGGTATTTTTTAAAAATTAATTTTTAATTTTATGTATATGAGTGTTATGTCTGCATGTAAGTGCACTCATGTTGTGCAATGCCCGAGGAGGACAGAAGAGGGTTTTGTGTCCCTGGAACTAGATGGTGGTTTAGCTGCTGTGTGGGTGCTGTAGTTGAGATGACAGTGGTGGTTTAGGAAGTTAATGAATTTTGGGGTATTTATACTTTGTTACATAATGAGTTTGTCATTCCATGCCTTTGTTAGCATTTAAGGTGAAAACTGATTATTAAAAACTCACAGCAGCTTACAGTATCTTTCTTTTTTTTTCTCTAGACAATGATTGAAGCGCATGTTGACGTCAAGACAACTGATGGTTACTTGCTTCGCTTGTTCTGTGTTGGTTTTACTAAAAAAGGAAACAACCAGATACGAAAGACCTCCTATGCACAGCACCAACAAGTCTGCCAGATCCGGAAGAAAATGATGGCGATCATGACCCGAGAGGTGCAGACAAATGATTTGAAAGAAGTGGTTAATAAATTGTAAGCGTTTTTTATTTCCTCTTAACATAACCCTGAGTGCCTGTTGAATCATCCCTCTTTTGAGGGAAAGCATACAAGGCAAGGTGGAGTTGGGCCTTTTCAGTCACTGATTATCTTCTTTGGTTGAAGCAGTCTTATAGCAGACAGTGAGACTTAGATGTTAATTTAAACATTGAATAATAGAAAAATAAACTTGCCATAATGAATGCATGAGAATATGTGATGAGAAAATGTTTCGGTCCCAGATGATGCCCACTGATAACTTTTACATTTTCTGATGTTCTCATGCAGAATATGCAAAAAAGTGTAAGAAATTTAGGTCCCTTATAAAGGGACAATAAAGGTCTTTCTTAATTAGGGTGCCTGAGTTAATGTGTAGATTTATTGTAAGGCTTTTTTTTTCTTTAGTCTTTTTGAGACAGGGTCTCTTCATAGCCAAAGAAAATGATTTGTGTGAGGAACCAACTTTTGGTGGGTTTTTGTTTGATTTTTAACTAATTTACTGGTGGTTTGCAGGATTCCAGACAGCACTGGAAAAGACAGAAAAGACTTGCCAGTCTATTTATCCTCTGCATGATGCCTTCGTTAGAAAAGTAAAAATGCTGAAGAAGCCCAAGTTTGAATGTAAGTGAGACATCGGGATTCATAAAAGGAAAAATGGTGTTGACCGTCCTCTTTGGAGACTGGACACTGGTCCGAGTCCATTTGGAGGGGTCTCCATGGCCTTCTTGATCAAGAGGACAGATGACCCACCACATTTACAGGACACTTTGAGAGATGCTCATAGTCCCCTGGAGCTTAGTTGACCTAGCAGGTCAAGGAGCAAAAACTGTCCTTTCTGTCCCTCTAGCCAAAATAGTATAGGCCTCAAAGTATGGCTGTTAGACATCTAAGAAGATTAGTTCCACCAGTCTGGTACTTTTTAAATTACCATGTATTATGAAGATAAAGCTAGGGCAAAGCCAAAACATTCTCAGATAAACTTTGTTAGTCAAGTATTGTATTCCTTGAGCTGGTCGTATGTATAATTTGTCAGTAGGTTGTTCGATGAATATGGTGCCCTCTGGGTTTTTTAAACTAGCTAGGCACCATTTCTCTCTCAAATCGTCTAACCCTTCCGCCATGGTTTCCGCATTTAAAGTGCCCCCATTTTTCCCATTTCTCCCTTAATAATACCCTTCTCCTATGGTCCCACCTCTCTTGAGCTCCTTCTTTTCCTTTTTCCCCAAGTTTCCTTATATAATCCTCCCCCTCCCTTAAAATATCCCTTTTTTTTTGGAGACATGGTCTCCCTGTAGCCCCAGCTGTCCTGGAACTCACTAGGTAGAACCAGTCTCCTATTTCCAACTGTTCTTCTCCATCTCATTCTTTCTTCCTTTACCTCCATGCTCCCTTTCCATTATCCTGGTTCCTGTATTTATGTCTGGATGTATACTACACTTATAAGGATTTGGGGCTAGGATCCACATCTGAAGGAGAAGATACATCCGTTTTTCTTTTCTGAGTCTGTGTTACTTCACTTTGTATAACAGTTTCTAGTTCCATCCATTTACCTGCAAATTTCATGATTTCCCATTTCTTTACTGCTGAGTAAAACTCCGTTGTGTGAATGAACAAAATGTTTATTATCCACTGGTCCTTTGAGGAACACTTAGGTGACTTGCCGTCTCTTAGCTACTGTGAAAAGAGCAGCAGCAAACATGGGTGTACAAGTGTCTCTGCAGGAGGATGAGTTTTGTGGGAATTTGCCAAGGGGTGGGAGGGATGCTGGAGATTTCTGAGTTTTCGGTTCTGATGCTTCTAGCAAAAACTAACACTCGAACAGACCGGGCGCCTCTCACCGCGCGTTCCCCCCCTCCAAAAAAAAAACCCAAAATACGATGGGAGCTGACTCACAGCCCTGTGGCCTATCAGGAGGCAGGTGCTACACCCAGCACACCCGTGCACCTCCCCCCAACACACAAACAGGAGGACAGATCAAGGAAGGGAAACCTGTTGAGTTAAAGAATGAAAGTCAGAGCTCAACAAGGAATTTGAAACGTCCAAAAAAAAAACCCAAAATACGATGGGAGCTGACTCACAGCCCTGTGGCCTATCAGGAGGCAGGTGCTACACCCAGCACACCCGTGCACCTCCCCCCAACACACAAACAGGAGGACAGATCAAGGAAGGGAAACCTGTTGAGTTAAAAAAATGAAAGTCAGAGCTCAACAAGGAATTTGAAAGGCTCTTTAAAAGTTCGGCAAGGCTGCTTGGAGAGCCACCTTCCTGAAGCCCTAAAGGGCATCTGGCTTGTTAGGTGTGGTGGGGTAAGGTAAGCCTGTGGAGGAGACGGGCTTTGAAAGTCAGCCAGATGTGGTAAATACCCTGTTCCCTCCGGAGGAGGCTGGACTTGTGGACTTGGTGATGGCAGACCCCTCCCTCTCCCTCTCCAGGCCTCTGACCCCTGTGGGTGCTTTGGCTGCTGCACCCAGGCTAGGGAGAAGAAATGCTGCCATTGCATCTAGTGCTGCTCTTAGGGAGGGTACCAAGCCCTGGGATCAGCCTGATCTCGGTAGGGGTGGGGTGGAGGTGGTCCCACTGATGTTGTGGGAGTCCCAGACTTTCCTCCCTCTCTCCCTCCCTCCCTCTCTCCCTCCCTCCCTCTCTCCCTCTGTAGGAGGGGGCTCGGGTCGGTGAGGTTACTGGTGGTGCAGGTGGGTCTGGAAGGCAGTCTCCAGAGGCGGGGTGAGGGTGGTGCTGGGAATGGCTGCCCGGGTCCGGGTGGGCGTGGCTTCGTGACCAGGCGCCTATTTAAGGGCAGGCTGAGCCCCTGCTCAGGGTCCCAGGCTGGACTCCCTGCTTGCTCGCCAGAGCTTGCCCAACGCTTGGGCTCCGCCCAGCCCTGAGGGAGGAGGACCTACAACAAGCTG